TTGTGGGATAGAGCAATAGCCACTATCAAATATTAGTGTTTGTTTGTTGTTCTCATACTTGAGGACAAGCATGGTTTAGGTGTGGGAAGAATTGATAGGTTGCAATTTTATCATTTATTTTATTATTAATTTTCTCTAGTACCTGACCTGATGTGAATTAATTATTAGATTCTACTCACTTTTCGTAATTTACATTTATTTCAGGGAGTAGAATAAAAATATCACAATCAAGGCCAATTTGACAGTCACCGGGAAAGAGTTCAAATAGCAGGCAATCAAGGGCATTCTTGAAATAAGGAGATGCAAGATCTTTTTGGTAATTTTGATCGAAAACAGCAACTAAAAAAGGGAAAAGAAAGCAAACCTGGGGGGCGTCCAGAGGCTTCGTCCTCTCCGCAAGGGGGCCGCCGCACAAGGAGAGCATTAGAATAGGATTTAGATAGAAATTGAAAGAGAACTCTCCGTTCAGTAGCTTAGGCTTGTTTTCTTTTTGACTTTTCCTTTGTATCCCTTTCTTCTCTTTTGGTTTTCTCCCGTGAATGTGATGAGAAAAGGATTGGGAAGCTTTTGACTTTTTCTTTTTCGTCTTCTTGTGGTTTGCTTCCTGCGGATGTCCAGACCAAGGGAAACAATTGGTCATACTTTGTAGTGTAGGCTCTTCTTTTTCAATTCGAACGAATTGAATCAGTGAAACTGGAGACAATGTCTGCGGCTATCCCTTCTGTTTCGTGTGAGTGCTCCTCATTGTGTATGAACTAATTTCTTCGCTATAGTCAAGGAACAACGGAGGATTTGATTCGCCTAAAAATTGTGAGATTGATTTAAATTTATCTTTTCTTTTTATTTATTGGTATTCGCATATTCCCTGATTACAGTGTTTATGATTGTTTAATTAATTGATTGTCTTGGATTCGGATAATTAGTTAATTTGATAATCTATTATCAATTGGGACGTTAAATCCGTAATTGTTTAATTGTCTCAAAATAGTGATAACTGGCATGATTGGATTTGTGTCAGGGGGATATGCGGGCTAATCTGAAATAACCCTGGTAGTGCGTTATTTGGTTAGAATAGGGCTCCTCTAATACGTAAGGCAATTGGGAAATTAAATCTTATGGGCGTACCTAGAATTATTTCTCAATTAGAGCAGTGATTAACGGGCGTACCTTAATCAACGACACAGTAAGGAGGGGTTGACTGTCATCGCTTGTTTGGCAGTTATAACCTATTTATTGGTAAATAATTGGAATTGGCTTGTGCATCGATGATCAATTAGGTGAACCATTGCTGAAGTTATTTCTTGGCTAGACCCTTAATTATCACTCGTTTGATTTTAGTAATTTGTTATTTAATTTTTAGTAGTTTCTTAAATTTTATTTGAATTTCTTTGATTATCACCTTCTGCACAAAAACACCCCCTTTGTTACTGTGAATTTGAAAAGAAACAATTACTCCCAATTCCTGTGGATTCGACCCTGCTTACCACTATTTACAGAAATTACTTTTAGTTTGAGTAGGTTTTTATTATTGCACAGGCTGACAACCTGTAATTAGTTATGCTGTAACAAAATGATACAATACATGTCTCCTTGATTGTTGTACACCAAATACTAATTATATTAGCACTAGTTTTACTGGTAAAGAGTGGTTAGACTATTAGCTACAAGTACATTTTAGTGAATTACCCCAGCTGCGTTTTCCATCACTCAGTAGAATTTTCATGTATAATAAAATAAATGCATCTTCGTCCTAAGTATCAATGGATATGGAGCCCAGTATGAAATTGCTTGGAAATGCAAATACAACAAAATCTGACTGAATTTGTCTGATAAGAATTTCCTTCTGGTCATCAATAAATCAAAAGAGATTCCATGTCTACATTCAACTTGGTTTGCCATCTCCGTGTGGAAAAAGAAAGAAAAAAAAGAGAAGAATAGAATTGTAGGAACTAAGAATAAAAACAAGATAAGATACTACTGTTTTTGTGGAGCAGAATTGCTAAGTAGGTCCTAGCTGCATTTTTCTGCCCCTTATAGTTGGACCCCAAAACTGATAGAAGTAAGAATGACTTGACTAATTAATGCCTGAATCAAAACGCTAGAAGTAAGAACGACTTGGCTAATTAATGCCTGTATCAAAACGCTAGAAGTAAGAACGACTTGACTAATTAATGCCTGTATCAATACGCTAATTTGACATATTTACTATCTGATATCTGTAGATGACAATGAAAGCTTGCTCAGCATCCATACTTCTATCAACACCTATCTGATATGGAAAAAGCTCTTAAAGTTTCGTGTACCATCAACTGGGGCTAACAAGCAAAACAACGATGACTTTAGTACAAAGACCAACGACTTTAGAAGTCTACCTCAAAAGAAAAAGGGCGAAAAAGAAAAGAGAGTTTCCCTGAAGGAAGGAAAGCAGTCTAGATCGGAAGAAAGTTAAGTGGAAAAAAGGAAAGAAAGAAAAATGTGAAAAATGGGAATTGGAAGATGCAAAAGTCATAAGAGTGTAATTTTTCCTGAATTTGTAATTGAGATAGGGTTTAGTATTCGTGAATTATAAAAGCAAATAAATTTATTATTAGATGTCCAATTCACCCTTATAACTGTGTGCATTTTATTAAACAGTAATTTGGATCTTAATGAATAAAAATGTACGCTTAATGAATATATATGTACATCTCTTTTCTATATATATATATATATATATATATATAGTGTATATTTAAATCGATAATTATGTACGTGTGTATACTGAAATTGTGAACATATAACACATGTACACATTCATGATTTTCCTGCAGCACTAATTTTTTGCATAATCTAAGAATAGTAATCAATAACCCATTTACAAATTTCCTGAAGCTTATTCCCTCCTCATGAATTTAAAATTTTCATGTTCCCCTTCCAAAATTTCCCCAAGAAAAACTTCTCCAAAAGCTGATCTTGATAGTTGAGCTAATTAGCACTTTTCACAAATATTTCATACTTTCTTTTATCATATACATCATTCGTCATTACTTTTTTTTTTTTTTTAAATTATACATTAATGTTCACATTGTTTTCCTCTCCTCATGCATCAGCCTAATGATTTGTGGTGAAGGCGCCAGAAAACTTTTCAATCGGACACAAATATATTAAGGTTCTTCTAGTTCATTCAAAACAAGAATAAGGATTGGTTCAGTCTTCCTTATTGTTACATTGTTGTGGTTACTCTGATATTGGCTTAAAATTGATTCAAAAACTTGCAATTGTTAAGCAGCAGATTACAGAAATTTTGTGCTACTACAAAACTTCAAGCTTTTCTTTCGGATAACAGTGTCGTTATGCCTGCTCTAATATTGGCTAAAAAGTGGATTCGGGGAAGATATGTGCTATTACTCCTACCTCAAAAATTTTGATGTTCTAAATTCAAAACTATTATCTTAGTCTTTATTGGAGATTCATCTTACTCAGCGAGATTGATGTATGGAAAACACTAACCAGTAAACCACACTTCTTAGAGGCCCCAAAATTAAAGAAGAAAATGACGCCTTCTGTAAATCTGATCTTGATATTCCAAACGAACTAATTAGCATTGTTAACCCATAATCGGGTTGGCAGTTTCCTCCATTGGACCCAAATGCTCCAAAAATTATGCTTCATGGGATGCCGTGGATTATTAAACAAAACTTCTCAAGCTTATTAAACTTATAGACTAGAGTGATCTTGAGATATTAATATCAGTTAACAGAGATTTTGAGTTTAAATCATTCTACCTCTCTCAGCTCCTTAAATCACACTCTTTCTCTACTAGAAAAAAAATAACTTAGAACTTATTCTCATTTGTTATAAAATTTTGCAAAATCTGAATATAGAAAGTGCTTATATGGAATAATCACAATTAGTTAAAACTACTCTTTGGTAGATTATATATTTTACATTTTTTGACTACTAAAAAAAATTTAAAATCTAGATGCACAAGGAAATCAAAATATCAAAAATATTGAATATTATACAAAAATTAGGAATTAAAATCCATTGAAATAATTGATTAAAGAACAAACTTTTTTTTTTAAACTATGAGTGAGAGGTCTCAAATTCTAGATCTTTTACTTACACTCTCTCCTCTCGTATTACCCAGCCCATCCCTCCCCCCTCAAGAACAAACCCTTGATTGTCTTCAAATGCCTTCACTTTAGTGTTTATCTCGCCAAGTGTATATTAGCTGTAATTAGACCTGCAAACGAATCGAGCCGCTCGAGTCGAAATCGACCTCGAACTCGAGCTCAAAATATTAAGCTCGCTCGCGAGCTCGAGTATATATATATAATATTTTTTTATTTTTTATATTTTAAGTATATATATATTTATTTTAAGTATATATATTTTTTATTTTCTTATTTTAATAGTAAAATTACATATATATCCTTAATATTTTATTATTTATTAATAAAAAAATATTATTTTATTTATTTTTTAAAAAATAAAATAATTATTTTTTATTTTTTTTCGAGCTCGAGCTCGAGCTTTAAATTTGCCGGCTCGTCGAGCTCGAGCTCGAGTTCGAGCTTGGTAAAATTTAGTCGAGACTCGGCTCGATTAGCCCAAAGTTCGACTCGATTCGGCTCGTTTGCAGCCCTAGCTGTAATGCTTATTTATTGCATTGGAATTATATGTTATCTTATAAAGAAGAAAATTGATTTTACCTTTTTTTTTTTGTTTAAAGTCACGCCGAACCCAAAATGAGTAGGAGTTAAGCCATAGCAATATAACTCTGTAGTAATAATGGCTGTATCCAAAGGAGAAAATAAATAAAGTAATTTTGGCTTACATTCCTATTGGATTTGAGACCCTAGATCCTAAGATCCTACTCTCTTTAGTCTTTACCAACCTAAAGAGCCCCTTCTCCGTTTCCAACATATATCCGAGCCCCTTCTCCGTTTGCTACATATATCCGGCTTCTTCTTCTTCTTATTATTTTTTAAAATTCAGTCAGCCAATGTTTAACAAGTATGCTCCAACTTCAGATTTTGGTAGTTTTGTTGTCCCTATTCTTGATTTACTTCTTGGTGTCCGGGTTCTCATTTTATTCTTTTATAGATGACCATTGTCAAGTACATGTTGATTATTTATTCAATTCCAAAAACACCAGCTGTTACCATAGTCCATCCACTTGCCGGGGCACCGACATCAATTTAAAGTGCCCGTTTCAATTTAGAGGTGATGATCCCGATTTGTGCCCTGAACGTCGTGTTGTTGAATTCTCTTGTGAAAATAATCGCACTGTTCTATCCTTGGATGGTCAGTATAACTTTTCTGTGGAGTTGAACAGTATTGATTATGAGCAACAGACACTTCGTATATTTGATCCTGGGGTGCAAAAGAACAACTGTTCTACCCTGCCAGTCTACCCATTAAGTCCATACTACTACAACAACTACTATCAACCTGGTGCGGGTTATGACATGGAGATTGATCCCGATGCTGGTTCGTTGGTCTTTGTGAGCTGTAAAAATCCGGTGAAATCGAAAAATCCTCCTCTTTATGTAGACACTGCTTCCTGTAATATAATCACTGCAAATCAGTTTTCAAAAATGAAAGCTCCGTCCAATTATTACAGCTATGTTGTGGTGGGCAAAAAGGTTGTGGCATCAGATGTTGAAAAGTCGTGCACCGTCTATAAGACAGCTCCTGCAGACCTGCGGTGTCTCCCTAATGTAACAGATATTTCGTTTCAAGACATCCACAATCTTATGTCTAATGGCTATGAGATCAGGTGGCTCCCACTCTTGGAGACCAGCAAGAAATCGGTTTTTTGTAAGTACACTGATTTGAAGATTTATTAATCTTCTGTCTATGGTGATTGATGATTGATTATGATGATCTTTTAAAAAAAGTATTCACTACTACTGCGTGAATCTCAGTTTCTGGAAAATTAATGACAAAGCATTTGGTAACAAAATGAAAGATTTTGCAAGAAATGAAAAATTCATTTTGCAAGAAATAACGGTACATAACCGTACAATCAATAGCTCCGATTCCCCTAACAACATTTTTTATTTTTCTTTTTTGGGGAATGAGAGTACCAGAAACCTTGCTACTGATATTTCGTCTTTACTAGTTGTCTTTGTGGCTGTGTATATCCTCACACAGTTTTCATTTGATTTTTTAAGTCAAATTAGAATGCTTGGGTTAACTTTTTTAGAAAGGTTATTTGTTTTATGATCCTATCAAACACATGAATTATAGAATTCTCATTTGAAACTTGTACACACATGAGGGCGAATTAATAGTAATTAATAAAAGTTCATTTTCAAGCATCCAATTGGACATTGACTTTGTCTTTTCTCCTTGGGCGATGTAGGTCCCCTAGTAGAACCAATCCTCGACCGCGTTGACGCATTCGGAAGTGAGTAAACTTACTTCTTTAATATGCACCAAAAAAAAAAAAAACAACCATTCAGTATTTCCATTATAACCTTTTTTCTTTCATAAGCAGCTGGCGTGGGTTTTGCTGTCAAATTTTTCGGTAAGGCATCTGATTTATAGTTGATAACTCTATCCATTAGGCATATATATATATATATATATATATATATATATATATATATATATACTAGAAATCAATCATTTCTAAATCATATTGTTCTGTTCTTCTATTTCAGCTCTATTCATTGCAGCAAAAAGTGTCATTGGCATTGCCCTCTTGTCTGCGTTCCTGCTTTATAGGTGGCATCGGAGGCATTTATCAAGGTATGATACAATAGAAGATTTCCTGCAAACAAACAGCAGACTCATGCCCATTAGGTACTCATATAGAGAAATCAGGACAATGACGAAAAATTTTAAAGAAAAACTAGGCGAAGGAGGCTACGGTATGGTTTACAAAGGCAAATTGCGCAGTGGAGATGCTGTTGCTGTCAAAATGTTGAACAAGTCAAAAGCTAATGGTCAAGAGTTCATCAATGAAGTTGCAACTATTGGAAGAATACACCATGTGAACGTGGTTCGGTTAGTGGGATTTTGTGTTACTGCCTCAAAACATGCTCTAGTGTATGATTACATGCCAAATGGCTCTCTGGATAAGTTAATTTTCTCAGACTGTCAAAATAGTTCTCCATTGAGTTGGAAACAAGTTTGTGAGATTGCAAAGGGGGTTGCTCGTGGCATTGAATACTTGCATCAGGGGTGTGATATGCAAATTCTGCATTTTGATATTAAACCGCATAACGTCTTACTTGATGAGAACTTTGTTCCAAAAGTTTCAGATTTTGGACTTGCAAAACTTTACCCAATGCAAAAGAGTATTGCAACTCTTACTGCTGTGAGAGGAACATTAGGTTACATGGCCCCGGAGTTGTTCTACAAAAGGATTGGAAGAGTCTCACACAAGGCAGACGTTTACAGCTATGGAATGTTACTAATGGAGATGGCTGGGAGGAGGAGAAATGTGGATGCGCATGCCGAGCATTCTAGTCAAATATACTTCCCTTCATGGATATATGACAAATTCGATCAGGTGGAGGAAATGGAAATCGGAGATCATGCAACTGATGAAGAAAAGACAACTATAAGAAAATTGATTTTGATTGCCTTGTGGTGCATACAGATGACACCTGAGGATCGTCCTTCAATGAGAGAAGTCTTAGAAATGCTTGAAAGTGATACTAGTGGCCTAAAGTTACCCCCTAAACCGTCGTTTTACCCTTCAGATTCACCCATATCCATGCAAAGAAGCAGTGATAGTAGTTCTTCTGACAAGTCAACGGCACCCCTGTGCAGCTCTGTGGCTTTGGAAGTAGAGCAAATGGATGACTAAGTAGTACTTTTAGTGACAGCTGTGTGGTGGATTTGTCCTTCAGTTTAACTTAATAATTTCTACAATTGAGCTCCAGTACATATTTTTTTTTCTCTTAAACTATTATGTTTTCTAACACAGCGAGCAGTATATCTAAGTATTTCTGGCAAATTCATGAGATCGATCTTTTGCAGTGGTGTTGCTATTACCAGTCAAATTGTTAGTTTAACATAGCCTTGTAGCCGTTTGTCTTTGTCCTTGGATTTTTCCTTCGAAACGTGTCTTTCCTTTTTATCAACATGGTGAATTTGAGCTAGCCCAAGTTCACTTATGCTTTACAATCGTTAAATTTGAAATTTCATTAATTTAATGGATTTAACAAGCAATCTCTCATAATTTCAATGACGCAATGAGAAAATACAGTATTTACTCTAATTGATCTACTAATAGATTAAAATACATCATTAAATGAAAAGCTTTAAATAAAATTTTTTTATTACAATTGGCTTGATTAAATTTTTTTTTAAGTGTAAGTGGAATGTATCGAATTCGAAGTCTCTCACTTACACTCACTCTTCCGGCTATATTAAGTTGAATTTTATATGACTATCTTACATTGATATATGTCCTTTATGTGCTACCTTACAGCCTATAGATGTTCAAATAACTATAGGATTTAGCTAAAGAAATGCATACATCAACAAAATGTTGAACATATCAAAGTGGGCCGAGACTAGACATGGCTGAACCTTTCATAGCCTAAACTTGGCTCACTTTGAAAACTTTTAGATTTCTTAACCCGCCAAGCTTGATATGGCTGGGCTTGGATTGCCTAAGATCAACTCACTGCAGGAAGGGGGAGCCTAAGGAGGCTTGTGTGTCAGGGGTTAGTAGATATGCAGATCTGACTAGACCAAGAGGGTGCTATGGCATTCCCTTGGATTTTTTTTTTTTTTTTTGCTACAGGTGAGGTTTGAACTCCCCACCTATAGCCCAAGGAGTCCCTCCCTGTTGACCACCGAGCCAAGCTCAGTGGTTTGATTCGGCACTATTGACACTCCTAGTGCTATGGCAAGTGAAATATAATATCATCGTAATACCAGCTCATAGCTCTCAGCCATTTATTGTTGATTGTAAATCTCCCTCCGTAATGAACTTTTTTTTGCAAATTTAATTGGCAAAGAACCTTAACTGCGGTAGGTAGTAATAGACTCTATTACTTATGAAAAATTTTATTATAGTCTAGACTAACTACTTGAATAACTGCTTAATAAATCTAGTAGTTGAGGGTTATTATCACTTTACCTCTTAATGTTTGGTGCTACTATGAATTTTTCTCTGAACGTTACTTTTTAGTCACTTTATCCTCAAAACTAATGGTCAAACTTAATGGAGTCTGTTAATTGAAGTGAAAAGACATGTTTAGCCCTTAAAATTATTATCACTTTACCCCCCATAAAACTATAGCCTCAATATCAATCTACCCGCTAAAGTTATTTTTCAGATAATTTATTCCGCTATTAAACCAATTTAGGAAATTAAAATTTTTAGAAGAAAGTAGCCTCCTCTTTGTATAATAAAAATAATAAAAAATTTAGAGTGCCTCTTCTTCTTTTTAGTATCAAGAAAAAAAAAGTTAAAACATTAATTTCTTCCGTCTTGGCAATCTTGTTAATATTGAAAAAAAAATTAGAAAGATAGGGGGCAGAGAAAGGGAGAGAAATCAATTCTTTTTTTTAAAAAAAATACAAATAAGAAAGAATTCAATGTTTTTATTATTTTAAAATTACTTTGCTTTTTAGTCTACCACCCAATTCCAATCCTAACCCCGATGATGTTAAAGTAATATGATAATATTAGATTCTTCCTTATTTTCTTTCCTGGCAAAATCCAATTTTTTTGTTTCTTTCTCTCGTATCTCTTTTTTTTTCCTAGTATGAATAAGTGTGAAAAAAGAAATTTAAGAAAACTCTTTAATTTTTGTGTTTTTTAAACTCTTAGAATGAAAAAAAGGAAGAATAACCATTCCAACTTTTTTTATTTTTAATTATATATAAAAAAGTGGTAAATACATTTAAAAATTTTTGAACATCACAAAGTAACTAGTGCAACAGTAGTTTCTAGTTATTATCGAGTTAGCATTTGGAAGTAAACATTCACAACAGTTTCTGTTGATTAGACCTTTTTCTTTTAAATTTATAACTACGACTGGTTAGGGGAGGATTTGACTTGGTAATTGGAATTGATTTATAAAAGTTGATGACAGTCAATTTTATTAACCAGCTTCTTCAAAGCAAAAGTCCAAGGGCAAATTAAGAAGCTTGGGCCCCAGAGCTGGGACTTGTCTTTTAGGGACCATGGGACTATAGTAACAGATCATGCTTGATTTCTCAAACCATTTACAAACAGTGGACATGGACACAATGCAGAATTACATTGTACCATCTTGGAAAACACCACGACAGTTGGTAGAACTCACAGAGAAATTATACCCAATTTGCACATGTAAGAGTTTGGAGTTTGTGTTTATGATTCACGAATGGCAAATTAAGTTGATCTGAGGACTCTACGAAGCCACTGTAAATATGGATCTGTTGGTATAGCAATACACTAAATTCACTGTAAATATGTTAATTTCAGCCACTTGTAAATTGTAATCTAGGTATAATTGCCCTGAACTTAGCACATTGGCCATTCATAAGACAGGCAATTCAACTTGTGCAAAAATGTTTTATTTGCCCTTGTCGGAATCAATTAGTTTCAGAAGTCTGCTGTTTATGTTTAATGAACTCATTAATGAGTTCAGTGGCAAGTTTTCCTGCTTGCTCAATGTTTGGATGCCGAGGTTCCTAGGTTAAAGTATCAGATTAAAGAAGAAAATTATAATTAATCATCAAATGATGGCTGTACATTAATATATATGTTGATTAACTAAGCACACAACCATGAGACTCGAACGACCTTGAAACAACTTATATTTACTACCAGAACAATGCCCTAATTAACATCACTGTCATGGTCATGTCATAAAATTTTGGGTAAATTCCATTTTACTCCCCTGTGATTTAGTGATTTTTTACATAACCCCCCTATGGTTTCAAAAACTATATAATCCCCTCATGGTTTGGATTAAAGTGTCAAAGTAACGGAAATGATCATTCGTAACGGAGTCACCTAAAATGTCAAAAATACCCTTATGTAAAGTTGAAAATTATTTATTAACCAAGGGGGGTTATGTATATATTTTAAAAACTATAAAGGGATTATATGATAAAATATTAAACTATAAGGGGGTTATATGGTAAAACATTAAAATCATACGGGGTTAATGTGTTATGTATTTATATGGGTAATTTTGACATTTTTAGAAGTTCCGTTACTAGTGACTATTTTCGTCACTTTGACACTTTAATCCAAACCATGAGGGGGTTATGTATAACTTTTGAAACTATTGGGGGTTATGTAAAAATGCACTAAATCACAGGGGGTAAAATGTAATTTTTCCTTAAATTTTATCTTTATAGATTCAAGAAATTGCACCGTTGGTTTCAAGATAAGCACAACTTTGATGAACCGTGTTAATGTGAGTTCTTGCTCTGGTGCCAAATCGCTTTAGTTAATCCTTAGCCCCCTTTTTTTTTCCACGAAAAACGTTTGAATATATCAATCTGGGCCATGTTGAGCAGCTAATTAAAGTATGTGGCTCCTCCTACAACAGCAGAGATTCAATAAATGTAATTGACTATAACATGCCAATTGGTGAAGTCCACCCCATGAGTCTTCGTCTCTTCAGGACCACATGCTGCTGATCATGAACTAAACCGTCCAAGTACAAAGTCACAAGACTTCACTCAAAAACAGACCTGCGGATTTTAGTATCTGCACACTTAATCAATTACTCAGTGGTCATTAATATGTTACAAGTGCAGATTTTGGTAGTTTCAGTTTCCCTTGCCTGCATTTCCTGTATCAGGATTTCCTGAAACATTTTCAAAGATAGTTTAGCTCCCTCCAAATTCTCAATGGCTTAGTTTAGGACCAATTGTAAAATGTTGTACTCAAAAAGTCTCCCTTGCCTTAATTTAATTTTTGTTGTCCGGGTTCAGCTCGGATAATTTTGTCGGCAACATTTGCTACATACAATAGTTTTGTTGAAGTACAACATTTGCTACATCTGGTACAACAATATTTTGAAGTAGCAGTAATTGACTTAGCTGATCGCACTGTCTAGGAGTTGCTTGTGATATGCTGATGAGAAAAGTTTATTCTCATGCTAAACTAAGAATGGAAATTGTGACAGTAGCTTCTAATATTCTGTAAAACTATTTCTAATATTTTCTAAATATGAGCAATAAGCCAATACGTCCAAAAGCTTTCACTTGACCTCCTTTTTATGATAATTTGTGCTGTAAGAATTCCCTTTAAAGCAACTGCAGTGTTATAGCTATATCCGTTTGCTATAGATTCTATTGGATTTTACGGTGCAATTGTTACGGTGCAATTGTTATTTTAATTGTCTTACACAGCAATAACAACAAAAAGACTACCATCAAAAGGACTTCATTTTAAATGCATTTACCCATCAAAACTACCATCAATGGAGCCTAACAGGAAAAGTATGCTTGTTTTTTTTTTTTTTTGTCGAAACGTTAGCTTGTTTTATATATATAGAACTGTAAACTTTACAATATTTTGGACAAAGGTCCAATCAAAAGGGACAAATTGTCCTACAGAATCACTGATGCCTAGCATCTAAGATTGGGATTCACCCATTCTTTATCTAACCAGATGTTTAGAGCATGAATGCTCAATTTGATACTTTCTACTTTCCTAGAATTAGCAAAAAGAATAGAGCACTGTTGAAACAAAGTTCCAATGGATCGAATGTCCTCAATTAGAGTGGCCATCAGCTGATTGTTGTACTTTGCTGCTGTTATATTTTCTACCAGCTTGCGATTATCAAGTTCTACTTTGATATTCCTCCAGCCTTGGCCTGCAACTTTCAGTAGAGCTAATCTAACCGCAACAGCTTGGTCTTGTAATGTATCCCCAGATGATCTTTCTCTAAGTGCCCAGGCTGCTTGCAGTTGTCCCAAGTTATCTATAGCTGTGATTCGAATCCCCACTGTTGCTTGCCTTCTGTCTTGATGCGTGTGGA